GCTCAGGAACAGAGAGACCGGGAAGAAAACAGCCTCAGCCTTCCCCATCCCCTCCTCCACTCGCCTTTGCTTGCTCCTAGCTCCAGTCTTCTGGCTGAGGCCATGCCAGCTTGTGTTGACTACCAGCACCACATCGTGTTCTCTGCCCTAACTCCCATGTACTTAGGGAAAGTGCCAGCCCATTCTGAGTCAGGCTTGGTCACAGATGAGAGCTGAGGATGGATGAGGCCCAACTCCAGCATGCCACGTCTGGATTCCCCGGAGCAGAGGCCGGCACCAGTGCCAGCCTCCGAGAAAATCTTACTGTCCCACTTGAGCGACTTTGTTTTAAAAAAAGAAATCTGCTGAAGGTTTTTAAGTGGCACGCCATCATTTATTTACAGAGAAAGGCATCACTCTAACAAAATCAGGAATCCTTTGGGGGACAGATTATTCTGTAATACCACTTTCATAATCAGAAAACTCTCGACACAAAGCGTTCTACAAAACTATAAAAAGAATCGGGCTAGCCTTTTAACAACACCGTAAAAATCAGGCCTACCCAATAAAAGCAAAGGCAGAGCTCTATAAAATTTGGTGAATCCGGGACCACTTAAACAAGCCTGGACACACAGATGATGGAAGGTGTGGGACGTGAGTTTCTTTTGCTGGCTTTCTCATTCCTCCTGTTCCATCACTGAAACCAGGCCAGCCCCCAACATCCAGGGTCTCTGCACTACCCTTGGAGAGCTCATTTATTCTCCTGGCTCCAACTCTTGCCCCTGTAGACACCTTTCCCTTATCTCTGTCTGCCACTTAGACATAGCAGCATCACCTTCTACTTAGTAGGTGGAGAATTGAAGCTCTCTTCCTGGAGAGCACCAGTTCCACCTCACCAACTGGGTGTTAGTGATGCTGCCGTTTTCTAGTCACTCAGGTTTGTGACCTTGAAATTGCTGCCTCCTTTTTGGTCCCTCTGACGTGTCTCCTCTTTCCTCCTTCCCTGCCCACTCCTCCCTCCCATCCTTTGTATCTCTCCTAAGCAAACCTTTCTTTGACCTGACACTGCTTTCACTACCTTCTTTCCCTGTTCAAACCTTCCCATACCCAACCCGACTCCTCCATGTAGCTGTCAAGGCCACCGTGCTCTTATCTCATCCTATCTGTTCCAATGGGTTTTTCCACTACCGCTCACAATAGTAGTAAAAGCACCTGCTACACATTACACATGAGCTTTGCACTCATTGTCTCAATTAATCCTCACAACACTAACTGGAAGCCAAAAAGGCAACCATTGTCCATATTTTACAGTCTTTAGGCTCAAAGACTGTGACAGGCACAGGGTCACATAGTAAAAACTGCCTGAGGTATCCAGAGCTAGAACCCAGATCTTCATACCTCTCTGGCGCAAACTTCACTGTACCTGGATACATACCTTCTTTGCCATGGATTCTGCTCCTGAAAGGCTGTTTAATGTTTCAATGGATTAAAAGAATAAGAATTTCTGCTGGGCCTGGTGACTCACACCTGTAATACCAGCCCTTTGGGAGGCCAAGGCAGGTGGATCCCCTGAGGTCAGGAGTTTGCAACCAGCCTAGCCAACATAGTGAATCCCCATCTCTACTAAAAATACAGAAAATAAAAAATAAAAAATAAATAGCTGGGCGTGGTGGTGGGTACCTGTAATACCAGCTACTTGAGAGGCTGAGGCAGGAGAATCACTTGAACCCGGGAGGCGGAGGTTGCAGTGGGCCGAGATCGCACCATTGCACTCCAGCCTGGAGCAAAACTCCATCTCAAAAAAAAAAAAAAAAAAATTCTTTTTTTTTTTTTTTAGCCAGCATTTCCCCAGGCTGGAACACTGGGCGGTGATCTCAGCTCACTGCAATCTCCACCTCCCAGGTTCAAGTGATTATCCTGCCTCAGCCTCCCTAGTAGCTGGAATTACAGGTATCTGCTACCACAGCCGGCTAATTTTTGCATATTTAGTAGAGATGGGGTTTCACCATGTTGCCTAGGCTGGTCTCAAACTCCTGACCTTAGGTGAGCTGCCCACCTCGTCCTCCCAAAGTGCTGGGATTACAGGCATGAGCCACCACACCCATCCTAACTGTTAACAGGTAAAGAATAGTTACCACCTGAATAAAGGCCACAGTAAATGAGGCAGGAGTATAAACAGTAGGCCAGGTAGACCAACAGCGGTGAAGCACCTTATGAATGCCATCTGCAGGGGGTTCACTAAGGGACTTGACATTATGTAGTTTCTGAGCACAGACACCATTTGAAACGGGCATGGAAGGTTCAATTCCTAAAGACCATGGTGGAAGGGAGGGTGTTCCTGGCCAAAGAAACTGCCTGTACACTTCCACCCCACTGCCCTTCCAGGCTCTCATGCAGTATTCCTAAACAAATCCAGAACTGACTGATCCCTTCCCCTGAACCTCTACTGTACTTTTATCTCAGAGTTTAAAAGGATTCCTGTTCATCTTGCTGTTTCACAAGTCACTCTTACAGTCCCAACTAGATTTTAAGCTCTTTAAAGCCAAGAATGCAGTCACACTTCCATTCTCTCCAAAACGTGATGGGGACCTGATGATGGCTTCTGCCCAAACTGTGGGAATAGCTGAGATTCCAAAGTAAGCTTTACACCTTTCACTATGTTTTGATCACAAAGACTCAAGCTAAAAAAAGGCACTGAGTGACAGTAGCTTTTTCCCCATCCAGAAATTTGTGATGCAGGGATGGTCCTTCCCTTCTACCAGGCTTATGGAGAGTCCCAGTCTGGTTTAACAAGATCAGAATGTGTAGGGCAACAGGCATTCTCAGACACTGCTGGTGAGAGTATAGTTTAGCACAATTTCTATGGTGGAAGATATCAGAGCTCAAAACAATCTACTCCTTGATCCAGGATCCTGTAACTCTAGCAGCCCATTTGCAAAACAGTAAAACAAAGAAACATTTCCTTCAGTCGGGCACTGCTTACATCACAGCAGCTCTCTGAGATGTTAACTAGAAAGGCGAGACACAGAACAGTATGTATAGTGTCCCATCCTCCGTGCCCAAAATATTTCTGGAAGAGCCCACAAAGAAATAGGGATAGTGGTAGTAGTGGCCTCAGGGAAGGGAGACTGTGTTGCTGGGGAACAGGGGTGGGAGATTAGCTTTTTACTGTTTTGAACCATGTGCATGTATAATTTGTAAAATAATTATGCAACAAACGACTTCTTTAAAAGTCTTCAGCCCCAGTAGAGTGGCTCAGGCCTGTAATCCCCGGACTTTGGAAGCCTGAGACAGGAGGATCACTTGAGGCCTGGAGTTTGAGACCAGGTCAGCCTGGGCAACATAGCAAGACTCCATTTCTACAAAAAAAAAAAAAAAAAAGTTTAAGAGCCAGACATGGTGGCACATGCCTGTAGTCCTCGCTATTTTTGGGAGGTGAGCCAGGATGGCTTCAGCCCAGTAGTTTAAGACTGAAGCAAGGTGTGCACCACTGCACCCAGCCTGGGTGACAGAGTGAGACTCCTGTCTCCTAAAATGAAATTTTAAAAAACTTAAGGCCAGGGATGGTGGCTCACATCTGTAATCCCAACATTTTGGAAGGCCGAGGCAGAAGGATTACTTGAGGCCGGGAGTTTGAGATCAGCCTCGGCAACATGGCAAAACCCTGTCTGCTAAAAATATAAAAATTAGCCAGGCATTGTGGTATGCACCTGTAATCCCAGTTACTCGGGAGGCTGAGGCAAGAGAATCACTTAAATCCAAGGAGGCGGAGGTTGCAGTGAGCCGAGATCGCTTCACTGTATTCTGGTGTACTCCAGCCTGGGTGACAGAGTGATACTCCATGTCAAAAAAAAAAAAAAAAAGAAAATTTTAAAAAAACTCCAGAAGAGGAAAATAAACAAAAATGGGACATCAACTCAGACATGAAGGAAAAAAACATTTTTTTAAGTCTTCATCATTTGTGGCAAAAAAGAAAAAAAAAAAACCAGCCCTTAAAAACCCAGAAACCTGAGGTGTAGAGAGATGAGTAACCCCTCAGTTGTTCATCTGAGAACAAACAGACTGTATCTTTCACCTGCTTTTTAAGTCCTCATCCCAAGGCCTGGCCCAATGTTTGGTATCCAATGGTTGTTTAATGTCTTTGAATGGATGAAATTTACTTCCCTACTGAAAAGTAAAGCATTCTCCAAATGTAGGCAATTGTGAAACAGGGATAAGAGTCGAGGGGGAGCAGCATGGCTGCCAGCTGCTTCTGCCTCATGTATTCATTCACCTGCCTGAACCAAGCACCCACATGCACGGATGTGTACCATGTACAGGCTGTGAGATGTGAACCCTGCCTCACAGTGTACCAAGAGAGAGGATAGCACACACAAAGAGCCACCAAGTAGAAAAGCTACATGAGTTTTAAAATAGGGAATTTCTGAAGCAGCTTACTCCTAAGAGCTAAAAACCACTGCCTTGACCACATATACAAAGGCTGCAATCTCAGAGGGATATTTCATGTATTTAGTAAAACCTGGAGAAATGAGGAAGGCAGGGCAGTTGATAGGGACTTGTAGGCACACTTGGCCCCAGGGAGGCAGGCAGATGCTGGTAAAGAACATCATCGAAATTAGCTGCCTCCTTGCTTGGCAATCCTTTTACCTACACCATCTGAATTCAGTCTTTAGCTGGATGTAACCATTCATTCACTCATTCATTCAACAAGAATTTACTGAACGGCCTAGCCTGTGCAGGCCTATGTTAATTGACTCCAGCACACTCAAGTTACAGTTTTGGCCTTTGTGCATCAGCAATGACAGGTCACCCTTACCACAAAGAGCAAGTCAGCTTGGCCTCTCAAGCTGAAAGATAATCATTCTATAGCAAGAAGTACAAAGATTCTCTGCAGACAAAAATCGCCGGCCAAGGGACCACACCATACATACACGTAAAAGTCTGATGGAGCAGGATATGTAGCAAGGAATCAAATGTAGCCAGCGCACATACTAACAAACATCAAAGCAAACCTAGTCAGATTGAGTCCCATTTGAACAATCTTTATAAAGGTTTCTTCATGTTATTTACAATTCAAAGTAAATTTACTTTATACACAGCTAGGGAATTCTTTATTTAGTAATGTCCTAACATAAAAGTTCACATAACTGCTTCTGTCAAACCATGATACTGAGCTTTATGACAACCCAGAAATAACTAAGAGAAGGCAAACATAATACCTTAGAGATCAAGAAACATTTACACAGTTCAACTGTTTAAAAATAGCTCAACGTTCAGCCAGTGAGTAGAGTGTGAACACCAGCATACACAGTATACAAGTCCTTCAGGGAGGCGAGAGACCTTTTGACTGGTCTGTAGGTACCTCCAAATGCTGGTCCTTTGGAGCTTCTTTCTGAGGCTCATCTTCTTCCAACGTCGTCTGTGGTCTGCCACTCAAGTGTTCAGATTTCTGGGAAACATGACCTTCCTGTTGCTTAAAAAGCCAGATATAAGTATCACACAGATGTTATCATTTTCATTCAACTGATTGGCTAAGATATATAACTAGGTACATTCTGTCACTGAGTGAAAAATTTAGCACTAACATCTCAGATCCAATTCTACTATAACAAATAGTAAACATGACTTTTAAAAGTCTATAGAACCACAATTTCAAAAGCCCTAATGATGACTCACTTGTTTCAAGTAGCAGTCATTACCACAAAATTTTAGTATATTCAGTGTAACAGTGTTTGACCTGGAATTTAAGAACGTAAGCCAAGGTTAGGGAAAGAAAACCAAGTCTCTGTTTAACTTTCATCAAGTTGGCAGCTCTGGTCAACCCTCTGCATCTGCAGGTTCCACATATGCAGATTCAACAAACCACGGATCAAAAACATTTTAACAATTAAAAAAAAAAACATTAAAAATAACAATAAAAAATAAAAAATTTTTAAAATAGAGTATAACAACTACCTATATAGCACTTACACTGCATTATATGTTATAAGCGATCTAGAGATTAAAAGTATGTGGGAGGATATATTTAGGTCATATGCACAAACTACAGCACTTTATAAAAGGGATTTGAGCATCTGGGAATTTTGGTATCTGCAGGGGTCCTAGCACCAATCCCCTGGGCATACTGAGGGATAATTATACTCTGATAACAATTTTAACAATGAAATACTCACAGTCCTTGCTTCGCCTACTCGTCTTAAAATGACACCTTCTGCCAATAAAGCCTTCCCTGTTTCCACAAATAACTTCTCTTCGTCTGTTTCTCCAAGTTTCTGCAGCTCAGTATACTTCTCCACAAACCTGTAATTCCCAAGCAGTCACATTTTAGGTTTGTTAGCATTGTTAAGACACGCTGTTGCATAGTATCAAATGAATAATGAAACCCTTAAAAAATAATATGAATAGCCCGGGACTTATAAAATGCCTTACCGTTGACAGGTAGACTTGAAGTTTGGATTGAACAGATCAAAAGCTCTTTGACCAGACCCATACGCTGAATAAAACTTCCTAGAAAATGCAAACAACATAATATAAATCTCCTACTATAGACTGGGGATGAGAATGGAATAAAAGAAAGAATAAGTGCTAGGCTCTGAGGAGTTACGTACAGTACAACCCATATAGCCCAGGCTGAACAGTTTTGTTTTTTTTTAGATAAGTAATGCATGGATGCACATGGTACATACATCAAACAGCACAAACCGGTGGCCAGTGAAAAGTAACACTCTCACCCTCTTCTGCACCCCAACCCCCCAGTTCCCTTCCCAGGAAGCAACACACCAATTTCTTGTACATCCATCCAGAAATATTCCACTAATATACAAGCATATATGCGCTATCACTCCCTGCCCCCAGCCACATTTTTAGGCCAAAGAATAGTAAACCCTGCTCTACATCTTGCCTCTTTAAAAACTGAGGTATGGCTAGGCATGGTGGCTCATGCCTGTAATCCCAACACTTTGGGAGGCTGATGTGGGCGGATCACTTGAAACAGTTCAACATAGTGAAACCCCATCTCTACTAAAAATACAGATTGGTCTGAGCCCTTGGGTCAAGAAAAAAAAATTAAATTAAAAATAAATAAATAAATATAAAAGCAAATACAGCCGGGTGCGGTGGCTCAAGCCTGTAATCCCAGCACTTTGGGAGGCCGAGGCGGGTGGATCACGAGGTCGAGAGATCCAGACCATCCTGGTCAACATGGTGAAACCCCGTTTCTACTAAAAATACAAAAAATTAGCTGGGCATGGTAGCTCGTGCCTGTAATCCCAGCTACTCAGGAGGCTGAGGCAGGAGAATTGCCTGAACCCAGGAGGCGGAGGTTGCGGTGAGCCGAGATCGCGCCATTGCACTCCAGCCTGGGTAACAAGAGCGAAACTCCGTCTCAAAAAAAAAAAAAAAAGAAAATACAAAGAAATTAGCCAGGCATGGTGCCACATGACTGCAGTCACAGCTACTTGGGAGGGTAAGGTGGGAAAATCGCTTGAACCCCAGGAGGTGGAGTTGCAGTGAGCTGAGATCATCACTGAACTCCTGCCTAGGAGATGGAACAATACTTTGTCTCAAAAAATAACAAAATAAAAATAAATTTTAAAAACTGAGGTAAAAGTCAAACATTATAAATTTTTTTTTCTTTTTTTTTTAAAGAGACAGGGTCTCACTGTGTCACCCAGGCTAGAAGCAATGCTGTGATCATAGCTCACTGTAGCCTCAAACTTCTGGGCTCAAGCAATCCTCCTGCCTCCGCCTCCTGAGTAGCTGGAACTACAGGTTTGCAGCACCACCACGCCTGGCTGTCTCTAATTTTTTGTAGAGATGCGGTCTCACTATGCTGCCCAGGCTGGTCTTGAACTGCCAGCCTCGAGAAATCCTCCCACCTTGGCTTCCAAAAATGCTGGGCTTACAGGCATGAGCCACTGTCCCCAACCCAAATTTAACATTTTTCTGTGTGCGATTAAGTGACATGTAGAAAACTCACCAAGCTGTGCAATTAGCACTTCTGTCTAGCTCCAAAACATTTTTATCACCCCCAAAGGAGGAACTGTATCTCAGCAGTCACTTCCCACTTCTCCTCCCTACATCTTGCCTTATCAGTGCACGGAGACTGTTTCCAGTCCTCGGCTTCTCCAAACCATGCTACAGTAAATGCCTCTGTTTATAATTTGAGTGTACCATGCAAATAAGTCTGTAGCATAAATTCACAAATGTGGTATTACTGGATCAAGGTATGTGTATTTGTAATTAAGCCTTCCAAATCACCAAAATCCTTTCCAAAGTGGTCGCACCAATTTACATTCACATCAGTAATATATGAGTGCCTATCTCCCCATGCCCTGACCAAATTACATTCTCCAGCTAAGCATAGAGGCTCACACATATAATCCCACCTGCTTGGGAAGCTGAGGCAGGAGGATCTTTTGAGACCAGGAGCTCACCACCAGCTTCGGCAACACCATGAGACCTGAGACTCTGTCTCTAAAAAAATACACACACACATACACACGAGCCAGGTACAGTGGTTCATACCGGTAGTCCCAGTGGAAAAAATATATATTTATACCAGGCATGGTGGCTGATGCCTGTAATCTCAGCATTTTCGGAAGCCAAGGCAGGAGGATCACTTGGGCCCAGGAGTTCAAGACCAGCCTGGGCAATATAGTGGGACCCCATCTCTACAAAAAAATTAAAAATTAGCCAGGAATGGTGGCATACACCTGTAGTCCCAGCTACTGAGGAGGCTGAGGTGGAAGGATCACTTGAGTCCAGGAGGTCAAGACTGCAGCAAGCCACAATAGGCCCCACTGCACTCTAGCATGGGTGAGATCCTGTCTCAAAAGAAAAAAAAAAAAAAAAATATATATATATATATATATATATATATATATGTGTGTGTGTGTGTGTGTACACACACACACACACACACGCACACACACACATACATACATTCTCCAACTTTTTGATCTTTGCCAACCTGATAGTTAAGAAACTAGAACTCTTTATAGTTTTAATATGCTTTTCTTATGAAAGAGACTGGACATCTTTCCAAGTTTAAAAGCAAACTGAATTTCCTTTTCTGTGAACTGTCCATGTTCTTTGGCCACTTTTCTATTTGGTGGTTGCTATGGACTAAATGTGTCCCACCAAAATTAATAAGTTGAAATCCTAATCCCCAGTGTAATGGTATTTAGAGATGGAGCCTTTGGGAGGTAATCAGGTCATGGTAATCAGTCTTCATGATGGGATTAGTGCCCCTATATGAGACTGGAGAGCTTGCTTCGGCTCTCTGCTCTCCTCAATGTGAGGAATCGGGAAGACAGTCCCTCCCTAGAACCCAGCCCTGCTGGCACCCTGATCTCAGACTTCCCAGCCCTTGGAAATAGGAGAAACAAATTTCAGTTGTTTATAAGCCACCTGGTCTATGGTAATGTATAGCAGCCCAAACTATGAGAGTGGTCTCTTTCTTAAGGATTTATAAGCAAACTTTGTAGCCATATAAATAGAAAATTAGTCCTTTGTCATAACATTGCAAATATCTTTCCCAATTTGTTGGCGGTCTTTTGATTTTTCTTATGGCAGTGTTTTGTGCAGAAAATTTTATCATTTTCTTTTAATGCATATAGGCTTCTGAGTTTTATATCATGCTTTAAAAAGCCTTTATCACTCAGATCATGTTTTAGATTCTTCCATGTTTTCTTCCAGTACTATCATGATCTCACTTTTTACACTTAGGTTTTAATACATCTATTTTGTTTATTTATTCTGTTGAAAGTTCCTTTTTTTCTCTCCTTTCTTTTTTTTTTTTTTTGTTTTGTTTTGTTTTTTGTTGTTGTTTTAAGAGAAGGGCCTTGCCATGTTGCCAGGCTGTAGCGAGTGCAGTGGCTACTCACAGGTACAATCATAGTGTACTACACCCTTGAACTCCTAGACTCCGCTGGCCCTCCTTCCTCAGCCTCCCAAGTAGCTGAACTACAGGCACGCACAACTACTCCATAAGCTTTTTTAAATATCAAAAACAACAACAACAACAAAAAAGAGGGCCCAAACATAAATGTTCAATACATTATATAAATACAAGATATTTTGGCATTAATAGAAATAATGTTTATATGTTCTGACAACAGTAAAAAATTGAAAAAGAAAAAAAGAATTTAAAGCAATAATATTTAACAAGAGGGACCAGTAAACTATTCCACGTTCTCCAACCATTCGTCAGCCAGTTCCAATGCTATCTACAGCAGAAGCACAAACGATTTTTTAAAAATTTGTATGTGTTTATTTATTTTTCAGACGAAGTCTCACTCTGTTGCCCAGGCTGGAGTGCAGTGGCACAATCTCGACTCACTGCAACCTCCGCCTCCTGGGTTAAAGCGATTCTCCCATCTCAGCCTCACAAGTAGTTAGGATTACAGGCGTGCCCCACCACACCAGCTAATTTTTGAATTTTTAGTAGCAATGGAGTTTCAACATGGGCCCAGTCTGGTCTCAAACTCCTGACCTCAAATGATCTGCCAGCCTCAGCCTCCTAAAGTGCCAGGATTACATGTGAGAGCAAAGCACAAATGATTTTAATATCTCAATGAACCACAAAATTGCATGCAATGGGTCTGAGAAGACAGCTGCTGAATAAACACTTACTCTCCTCAAAGATCTCATGTCTTATGCCAAAAATTTCCAAGTAGAACAAGAACCTACTTGTTCTGCTACCTTAATGGAATGCTGGGGTGGGGGTGGGGTTCTGGGGGAAAGCCTGGACCCGAATTCAGAACATAATGACCTCATAACTTCCATTTTCTAGCATCCAGAAATAATAATAAGGGATGTGTATCAAAGTCAATTAGGCACACTCATTGGTCTAAATATTTAAGAGAAAAAGGAACCAGACAAACTCTAGGTACTAAAAGAAAATTAACATCACCAGGTGCGGTGGCCCACGCCTGTAATCACAACACTTTGGGAGGCTGAGGTGGGCAGATCACCTGAGGTCAGGAGATCAAGACCAGCCTGACCAATATGGTGAAACCCATCTTTAAAAAAAAAAAAAAGTCTGGGTGTGGTGGCTCAAGCCTGTAATCCCAGCACTTTGGGATGCCAAGGCGGGTGGATCACGAGGTTGAGAGATCGAGACCATCCTGGTCAACATGGTGAAACCCCGTCTCTACTAAAAATACAAAAAATTAGCTGGGCATGGTGGAACATGCCTGTAATCCCAGCTACTCAGGAGGCTGAGGCAGGAGAATTGCCTGAACCCAGGAGGCGGAGGTTGCAGTGAGCCGATATCGCGCCATTCCACTCCAGCCTGGGTAACAAGAGCGAAACTCCGCCTCAAAAAAAAAAAAAGAAAAAATTAACATCAGTCTTCAAGGGGAGGGGCTTTGTCAGTAAGTTCGCAGCGAGTGATTTACCACTTACTTAAATCTCAGATACATGTATAGGGATGCTAAATGTGGCCACAGAAGTGGTTTCTAGCCCACCGTTCCTGAAATTGTTTCAGAAATCTCATAAAACTCTGATGGCTGTTCTCCAAACAGTCCCAATTCTGGCCCTCCACCATTCCTCTCCAAGGAATTTTCTTTTGTCTCTACCATCCTCGTAGTTCCTTTGTTCATTAGTTAGTCCATTAGCTTCTTCATTCAAAAGACAATTTATATGCCAGGCACTGGGCTAGGCACTGAAGTTACAAGAATGAATTCGACAATGCCCGGCCCATGACAGTGTTTAATGAATGGCTGTTACTGAATTAAGACAAGGCATTCAGAATGTAGAGCTATTAACGACAGGCTAAGGCCACAACAGGGCAGTATGAACAAAGTTCTCAGTGTACACAAAAGGTGAAACATGAAAACTGAGCAGCAGCAGAGAAGCAGTCCCAAAAGAGTGTGACAACTATTTTTATTTTTTATTATAAAAAGAGAACTTTAAATATATATATATATATATATATATATATATATATATTTTTTTTTTTTTTTTTTTTTTTTTTTTTTTTTTTTGAGACGGAGTTTCGCTCTTGTTACCCAGGCTGGAGTGCAATGGCGCAATCTCGGCTCACTGCAACCTCCGCCTCCTGGGTTCGGGCAATTCTCCTGCCTCAGCCTCCCGAGTAGCTGGTATTACAGGCACACACCACCATGCCCAGCTAATTTTTTGTATTTTTAGTAGAGATGGGGTTTCACCATGTTGATCAGGATGGTCTTGATCTCTTGACTTCGTGATCCACCCGCCTCGGCCTCCCAAAGTGCTGGGATTACAGGCTTGAGCCACCGTGCCCGGCTAAATATATTTTTAAGAATGGTGCTAGGAAACCATTAGAAGCACATTTTCTGTGACTAAGTTTTGGGAAAAGGAGAGGGAAGGAGAAAAGAAGATTAAAGAATGAATATTTCTACTAGTTTCAACCCCTATTGTACTTTCAAAGTTAACTCAGAAAAAGAGTTGAGTTTACTGAAAAAGACTTTCCTAAACCCTCTAAGCCTAAAAGCAATGAAGCCAGCAAAAAGAAAAAAATGGTAGATTTGAATAGGTAAAATACCTGAGCTCCTAGCACAATGTTTGGCACAACGCTTACCATATAGAAGGCACCAAAACATTGGTGGAAGGAAATAAACAACTTCCATACATTAAACAAGCATTATGAATAGCAAATAACACATAAATAAATGTCTGGAGTGTATGTCAATGACTTAGTATCTTCAATTCTATAAAGAATTCTTACTGATCAATAATAATTACCAAAATAGGTAAAGAACACAGATATTTCTTTTTTTTTGAGACGGAGTTTCACTCTTGTTACCCAGGCTGGAGTGCAATGGTGCGATCTCGGCTCACCGCAACCTCCGCCTCCTGAGTTCAGGCAATTCTCCTGCCTCAGCCTCCTGAGTAGCTGGGATTACAGGCATGGCCACCACGCCCAGCTAATTTTTTGGTATTTTTTTTTTAGTAGAGACAGGGTTTCACCATGTTGACCAGGATGGTCTCGATCTCTTGACCTCGTGATCCACCCGCCTCGGCCTCCCAAAGTCCTGGGATTACAGGCGTGAGCCACCGCGCCCAGCCCAGATATTTCAAAAATAAATTCAAATGGCCAATAATCATGAAAGTAGAGAAACTTGTCAAAGAAACAAATCAAAATCTCTAAACACCATTATTATTCTTTTTCCTCCAAGACAAAGTCTTGATCAGTCACCTGGGTTAGAGCACAGTGGTATAATCTTAGCTGACTGCAACTTCTGACTCCTGGGTTCAAGCAATTCTCCTGCCTCAGCCTTCCGAGTAGCTGGGATTATAGGTGTGGGCCACCATGCCAAGCTAACTTTTTTTATTTTTAGTAGAGATGGAATTTCACCATGTTGACCAGGCTGGTCTTGAACTCATGACCTTGTGAGCCACCTGCCTCAGTTTCCCAAAGTGCTGGGATTATTATTTTAAAACTATCTAGATTAAAAAAAAAAATCTAGAGACAGGGTCTCCCTCTGTCACCCAAGCTGGAGTGCAGTGGCACAATCCCAGCTCACTGCAACCTCCACCTTCTAGGTTCAAGTGATTCTCCTGCCTCAGCCTCCCAAGTAGCTGGGGCTACAGGCACCCGCCACCACACCTGGCTAATTTTTCGCATTTTAGTTGAGACGGGGTTTCACCATGTTGCCCGGGGTGGTCTTGAACCCCTGAGCTCAGGTAATTTGCCCACCTCTGCCTCCCAAAGTGCTGGGATTACAGGGGTGTGCCACTGCGCCTGGCCCAGAAAAAAAAAAAAAAATCCTAAATAATCATTATCAATACTGACAAGGATAAAAGAAAGAACCCTCAGAAACTGCTAATCAGAGTGTAAACTAAGACAACTACTTTTTTTTTTGGTAGAGACAAGTCCTGCTGTGTTGCCCCAACTCCTTGGTGCAAGCTATGCTCGCCTACGCCTCTCAAAGCGCTGGGATTACGGGGGTGAGCCACCATATCCAGCCTGTGCTTTCCTCTTTATACTTTCCTTGTGTTTCTAAATTTTCTACAAGTAGCATGTGTTACTTTTAGAATAAAAGAGATGACTATCAGGGAGGATAAGATCAATGGCCTCATTAAAGCAGTTGGTGTAAATGTTAAACCTTTCTAGCTGGCTTGTTTGCAAAGGCCCTGACCAACGTCAACATTGGGAGCCTCATCTGCAATGTGGGGGCTTGTGGGCCTGCTCCAGCAGCCAGTGCTGCACCCGCAGGAGGTCCTGCCCCCGCCACTTCTGCTGCTCCAGCTGAGAAGAAAGTGGAAGCAAAGAAAGAAGAATCCGAGGAGTCGGATGATGACATGGGCTTTGGTCTTTTTGACTAAACATCTTTTACAACGTGTTCAACAAAAAGCTGAACTTTAAAAAAAATACATATATATATAGCCACTGAGCTTAAGAAAAAGAAAAAAACGAGAAAATGGATGCCAAAAAAAAAAAAAAAAAAAAAAAGAAAGAAAGAACACATGATTTTCCTTCCAATTCCTAGTGATTTTTATTTTTAAATCTCTTAGACTTGTAAGCATCTTATCTGAGTGGCTTCAAAGATCTGAACTACCAGATGCATAGAACATGTTCCTCTGATCTCCACTGGGGGAGAAGGCACAATGACCATCATAAGCCTGGAGTCAGAGATGTGATTCCCAGATCTGCCACCCTCCTATGTTTTTAATAATTACAGGAAGTTAGCTAATTTCCTTGAGCCTCGCAGTCTTCTTGAATAAAATGTAAAAAGAATACCTACCTTATAGGTTAGAGTAAGGCCTACTAGAGAATGAGATAATGCTTGCAAAGAGCTTGGTACAGTGCCTGGCACAAAGCAGATGCCTAGAAACATGCAGCTATAATTGCAATGATCTCTCAGTAGCAGAGCTCCAGATTCCATTTTTCATAACTTCAGTTTCACTATGGGGAAGGGGTACTGTTCCCTAATTTGGCTATATAAGCCTTTCCCACAGGGTAAGCCCTTGTCTCAATTTCATATTTAAATTACCAGACTGCTAGTGAAACCTTCCCTTCTGAAGTTCTGTGGCCTCCCGTCCACCACAGGGCTGCGCACTCACGCTCTGATCCGATCCTCGTGGTACCAGATGTCCTGGATGGAAGCTTTGGCTTTGCCATATCGCAAGCGGGGCTTATAGAAGACGGGCTCTCTCAGCGGGGGAAAGGCGTTATATACGTCAAACCACAGGGGCTTCTCCTTCAGCACCCCAACCCGCATCAGGTCCCGAGTCCTTAGGGAGGGAGCAAAACGAAACTGGGTCACTTGCAGTAGCCTGCAAAGCCTCTGAATCAGTCTAGCACACTTTGGGACATTAAAGGTATCACAGAACGGGGGAGGACTGCTCCCCACCAACAGGGAAGGTCTGTCCACATCCCAAACCAAACTAACAACGCTCAGGGGTTAAATCCCTCTATCTTCTTTTGTGCGTCCCACCCACGATCAGTCACGGAAAAATTCAAGAGCGGTCTAGTCTGGCCCATCAGGCTCTTCCTCCCTTCCTGTTCCTAGAGACCTCCCCTCGAAGAGGGACAGCTGCAATAATCTTTAACGTGACACATAAATTCAAAGAGAGGCATCGTCAGGCACAACTATTCCGAGCCAGGAGAGAACAGGAGAGAGGGCCTCACCCGGCTCAGCCCCCGCACCCTGCAGAACGCGTCCCCCCTGCTCAGGTCCCCCGCAAGGAAGAGCGTGACCGGCTGAGAACCCCAGCCTGCGGAAGGCACCCTCAGCCCACCGCGGCTCGTAGCACACACCGCGAGAAGATGCTCCCTACGGTTTCCAGCCGGCTGCCTGCCATGATCAGCGCCTGAGTCAGAGAGAGACTAGCTACTACCGGAACCGGAAGCGGCTGCGCCAGGTAAAGGGCTCATAAGTTGCTAGCCGAGCCAAGGATCGCTGTGCTTTTACCACAGCCCCTGCAGGAGAGCGGCGCAGGCAGAAGCAAGTGATAGGCCGAACGGGAGCGCTCCGAGGCTACTCGCCAGGTTAAGGCAGGAGCATTCGATAGCCGAGCCAAAAGGGCGGAAGCGAGCCACAGCGGGACAGAAGTAATAAATGACCGAGCTGAGGGAGCGATTCATTACGGTGATTGCTTCATTCTTTCTTGCCTTGTTGAGCCAACTCCCCTGAAAAGGTGGGGCCGCGCGGAGGGGAAGTAGTGGGTCACAGCGGGGGTGAGGCGCAGCCTACAGTCCTAGGGAAGCCAACAAAGGCCGAGATTTGAGGTCACCCTCTCTTGGCCCAACCTGAGCCTGATGCTGTTCAGAGTCACAGACTCGGCAGAAGAAAACCAAGGTCGGGAAGGGGCCGTCACTTGCCCAGGGTCATGCTAGGCTAGATCTCGGGCCTCCGCCTCTGCGCGGTGCTCCCCGCTCAGCCCCTCGTCCTCGGAGTGCCACCTGCATCCACGCTAACTGGGATGCTGGCTGCAACTGGTGTTTCCCGCGGCCGGCGTCGAGGGCTAGCTCCTCCTTGAAGCTCGAAAGGTGAAAGTGGGCCGGGCGCGGTGGCTCACGCCTGTAATCCCAGCACTTTGGGAGGCTGAGGCGGGTGGATCACGAGGTCAAGAGATCGAGACCATCCTGGTCAACATGGTGAAACCCCGTCTCTACTAAAAATACAAAAAATTAGCTGGGCGTGGTGGCACGTGCCTGTAATCCCAGCTACTCAGGAGGCTGAGGCAGGAGAATTGCCTGAACCCAGGAGGCGGAGGTTGCGGTGAGCCGAGATCGCGCCATTGCACTCCAGCCTGGGTAACAAGAGTGAAACTCCGTCTCAAAGAAAAGTGAGTGTCTGGAACAAACGACGAGAAGGAAACAAAGAACTCTGGAGAAAGTCATCTCAGTGTTAAGCTGTAAAAAACAAAACAAAACAAAACTGTGTGTCATAACCTTTGACCCAGTAATCATATTTTGGGGAAAGAACCCCACAGAAATTGAAGCATCATTTCATGAGGATGTTTGCGCAGGGATCATCGTTGCAACATTGTAGTGGGGAAAGAAAAATCCATCAGATGAGAAATGGCTGGAAAATTATTTTTCATACCTTTTTTGGAACCCTATGCAGCTATTAAAATGAATGAGTTAGATCCATATGTATTTACCAAGGTTAACGTACATGACTTACGTTTAAATGAAAAATGAAGTGTCAGAGAAACATGTTTAATGGAATCTCAACTTATAAGAAAAAGAAAACACTTCTATATATGTTTGTGTTTTGAGGATAGAAATTCTGCAGAAGGACACCCAAGGCTGTGAACATTGAGTATTTCGGAGTGAAACTGCAGGCAGGGAAAGGAGATTTTTTTTTCCTTTATATATGCCTCAGAGCCTGACTCGTCAAGAGTTTATATTCATATTTGAACTTTTAATCCAGTGAATGTTTTGAATCACACACTATGTCTCCTGGGAGCCTAGTCAAGTCATCCTAGAAGCCTCCCACTCAGGCTGGTGAGGGGGAGGAAAGGACTGTTTGATGAGTAGTTACTGCTCTTGTGTGTTTATCTTACTGAATCCACATACCTTCCCACAAGGTAGCTATTAACATCCTCGTTACAGATGAGAAAGCAGGGCCTCAGGAAGTTAAATAACTTGTCTGATAAGCAACTGATAGAGTCAGCCTGGGGCAGGGTGGGGGGTGGGGGCAGCTAGGGCCCTTTCCAAGACCTCACAGTGCTGCCTAAGCTATGCCTAAAGCTGGAGGGTGGTAGGCTCAAGAGTCCAGCGAAACAGGCTCCCCCTACAAGGCAGGGATCCAGTGATTTGAGGCCCAGAGCTAGTAAGAGGTGGGGTTCACTGCTCCCTCCACACCCTCTGGAACAGAGAAGAGAGAGCAAGCACAGCTCTGGCCTCAGGCCAAGTGTAAAGGCTGTAGTCTCCCAGCCCTCAGGAGATCTAGAAAACCTTGCTCTGGGGAGAGTAAACATGCTCCCAGCTAAATATAGTCTTCCCGGGCCTGGTAACAACTTTCTAATTCTGCCCCAGCAGCACTATCTACCAGTCCAGATTACAGGCACACTTCTCTTCGGCCACCAGGAACTGCTGCTGTAGGTTAGTGCAGTCACTGCTGCTAAAGAGTTAAAGGGTTTATTTCAAGGTCAGGGAGAGGAGCCAAAGACCCAAACCCTCAACAGGGGAAGAACTGCAAGGCAGAAATGTTCTCTCTAATCTTGGAGCGGGCCCTTCCTCTTCCAAGCCTTTGAAGTTTCCCTTTCCAGCCTTCTTCCGTGACTGAGAGCAGCATATTGGCCGGCAGACTGGCAGTACTTTGGGGATACTGGGAGCATTATTGATAAACAGCCTTCCGAAGCTGCACGAGAAATACACACCCAAGAAGCATTCATTCATAATACAGGAGGGAGCTGCTGGGCAGCAGGCAGAATGGACATTTAAAGCTATCTTCTTGAGTAGGGACCACAGCCACCCAAGGCCGTCAGGGGCTGGGGCACTTACACCATGCACCACTGTGCCACGGGAGGCACCAAGGACCCTCAAGTATCTCATTCAGTTGTTCAACCACCTGCTGCCATAGGTAATGTCCTGATAATCTTACAGATAAGGAAGTGGTACTTGTAAACTCCAAAGGCCATGTTCTTCCACAACACCACTCAGCCCCATTGTAGCCACTGTCTCATTGTACATGTGCCCACTAATTGAACTGCATCACTCTGGGCAAGTTATGTAACTTTTCAAGCCTCTGTTTCTCCAACTTTTAAAATGTGAAGCTGGGCTCAGTGGCTCATGCTTGTAATCCCAACATTTTGGGAGGCCAATGTGGGAGGATTGCTTGAACCAGGAGTTCAAAATCAGCCTGGGCAACATAGTGAGAGCCAGTCTGTAAAATAATAATAATAATAATAATAAAATAAATTAGCCAGGTGTGGTGGTGCGTGCCCATAGTCCTAGCGACTTGGGGGACTGAGGTGGGAGGATAGCTTGAGCCCAGGAGTTGAAGGCTGCAGCGAGCCATGATCACACCACTGCACTCCAGCCTGGGCAACAGAACTGAGACCTCATCTCAAAAATAATAATAATATGGATGGCAGTGTCAACTATCTTCATAGCTTGTTGCTAAAGTAAAAGAGATTATTCATACAAAGCACTAATCACAGCCCCGGGACACAGTGAGTGCCTGTGAGCAACACGAACACGCCTGATGGCTGGAACAGCATCGCTACTGCTGTTGTGCTGCCGTGCTGTGCCACCCGCCCATTGCCACCTGGGCCGCAGCATTTTGATAATATTTCATAGATTGCCCTACAGTTTTACTTTCTTGTTGGATGATTCATTCATTTCATAAACATGTCAACACCTACCTGGCTATTCTGAGTCTTAGAGAATCCAACTGTCCAGTAGAGAAGACAGGCAAATACGTAAATATTAAGTTACGTGCTGAATAGCTTGTTGATTGCATGACGTTTGCTAGCCCTGCCCTAACACCGTTTACACACAGAGTGGGTGGCTTACGCACAAACTTATTTTCTCCCTATTCTGGAGGATAGAAGTCCAAGATCAAGGTGTCTGCAAGTTTGGTTTATTCTGCACAAGGCTACTTTCTCCTTGCCTCGGAAACAGCTTTCTTCTCCCATGTCTTCACATGGTCTTTCCTTTGTGTGGGAGGGTTTTGTCCTAATCTCTTCTTCTGAGGACACCAGTCTTATTGGATTAGGGTCCACCCTAATGCCTTTATTTTAACTTAATTACCTCTTTAAAGACTATCTCCTAATATAATCACATTCTGAGGTACTGGGAGTTAGGATCTCAATGTATGAATTTGGGGGAGACACAGCTCAGCTCCTAACAGTGATATGTAGGTGCTGAATAGTTCCCACTTGCCCAAGCAGTTCCACACCCACTCTGCCATCCTTCGCCCTGCTGTGTGCCCCGGGAGGCCGGCTTCTGTAACCTGCATCCACCAGCCCCTTGCCCTCTGCTTCTGGCTGGATTCCAGTTGGTGCTGCCAATGCAAGGCTTTGGCAGGGGACTTGAAGGAAGGAGAAGAGTGAAGTAGACCTTATTTCCCTGGCTCCCTCCTGAAACATAAAGTTCTAGAGCATAAAGTCGCAGCTCTCTCACTAGGTTCCAGCCACCGTCCCTCCACTGCCCCTTCAAGTCTAGACATAGTTAGCAAGCTGTGCCCTGCTGTTATTAGCTATGGAGTCTAGGCTATCCCTTCTGGCTTCCCATCACTCTGCCCACATCGTTGTGACAGTGCCCTAATTTAAATAGTGCATGGAGGTCAGGCATAGTGGCTCACGCCTATAATCCCAGCACTTTGGGAGGCCGAGGCGGGTGGATCACTTGAGGTCAGGAGTTCAAGACCAGCCTGGCCAACAAGGCAAAACCTGGTCTCTACTAAAAATACAAAACAAAAATCAGCTGGGTGTTGTGGTGCATGCCTGTAATCCCAGCTACCTGAGAGGCCGAGGCAGGAGAATCACTTGAACCCAGGAAGTGGAGGTTGCAGTGAGCCAAGATTGCACCACTGCACTCCACCCTGGGTAATAGAGTGAGACTCCGTCTCAAAAATAAAATATAGTGTGTGGGAATTCGTCAGACAAAATGAGGAAGAGCATCCCCCAACAGTGGAACAGCTTTGATAAGTGAAACTCCCAGCATATTGATGAAAGCATGAATGCTGCTACTCACCTGTGGCAGACAGCTAAAATCAGGGAGCAATTAGCAAGACCAGGAGGATGAAGGGCAGGGAGGACTATTAAAGGAGGAGGCAGCCAGGTGCAGTGGCTCACGCCTGTAATTTCAGCACTATGGGAGGCCGAGGTGGGTGGATCACTTGAGGTCAGGAGTTCGAGACCAGCCTGGTCAACTTGATGAAATCCCTGTCTCTACTACAAATACAAAAATTAGCCAGGCATGTTGGTCAGCACCTGTAATCCTAACTACTT